CTAGTACGTTATTTGTTTCTAATATTTAGGTATTTCGGTTTTTCCATCGGGCAAAATATCTGGAATAATATATAAATAAGTGGTTAGGATGAAAAAAGAGACAAACGAGTAATCTACCTACACTCGCATTAAAAACAAAACTACATAAAATACTGTAGGCTGGCGGCCCTACCGCGTGCCAACACAGCGCTCAGTCGTAGACATTTATTTTCAAGGACAGGGCGGAGTCCCAATACTGTATAGATAATATTACCTTGCTATGGATAAGTTAAGTAAACAGATGGCGCGAAATTTGAATATTACAATCTGTAATCATTAATAAATGTTTACTACCGGACAGCTGCGACTTCGTCCGTGTTAACTTTTGTTTTAAGAATCTCACAGAAACTTGATCTTTTTACGGGATAAAAAGTATACTATGGTTCTAAACTATATTTCATCTAAATCCAATCAGCAGTTTTTTAAAGATTAAGTAACAAACTTTCACATTTCTAATATGAATAGGATAATATGCCTTTAATTGTTAATCACATTTCCTTTTTTTTGTCCGTTAAAGTTATGTTCCTTTGTCATTTTTTTTAACATACAGCAATTAAATATTTAGGCTTGTGTTATGGGATAATAGGGTAACGGATAGAATACATATACTGCTACATATGTTTATATAGACCACACATATTAAACATCCATGACTGGAGTACAGATGCTCGTATTCAACACACAAACATCTGCCCCCACCGGGATTTGAACTCGGGATCTCTCGAATTGGTGACGCCATAAAATCCGGCGTACATACCACTCGGCCACCACGGAGGTTGTCAAAATAACGTAAACATTCTAAAGAAAAGTTAACTAGAATAAATTCCACTCGGACTAGGCAGCAGACGGGACTCGAACCCGCACCCTTCGCTATCCGGGCGAATGCCGACGGGTGTGGATTCGAGTCCCGTCTGCTGCCTGGTCCACGTGGATTTTTTTCTAGTTAACTTTTCTTTTGATTTAAACATCTAGCAGTTTAATTCTTAAAAAATAAAAACATAAACGTAGACATTATCTAATTTTTCCCTTAGTTATATATATTACTAGCGGCCCGCCCTCGCTTCGCTTCGGTGTAGAGCTGAGATGTAGACTACAGTTTTTGTTATCAGGCTTGTATTATACACAATGACATTCATCTATGATTCTTCTTATACCTGCATGCAAAGTCTCAGCCCGATCGGATTAAAATTGACAAAGTTTCATACAAACTTTCATTCCCTATTTTATCCCCTTGGGGGTAGGATTGATCAAAATCCTTTCTTAGCAGATGCCTACATCTTAACACTTACCTGCATGCCAAATTTCAGCCCGATCCGTCCAGTGGTTTGGGCTGTGCGTTGATAGATCACTATGTCAGTCAGTCACCTTTGAGTTTTATGTATATCTATACAATTTTCTTTCTCAGAGCTAACCGCCTCAAGTTCTCTTATACAGCTTTATCACCACAAACAAAGCCGTTGGCGTTATTTTTGCTGTCGCGAAGAGTAAGAGCCGTATTACAGTCGCGTCATCTGTTAACGCGCTTCAACTTGTTCCAACGGGCGATATTTTATGCCCTCCTATGCTGACACATTAATTCATATGACGGTCACGAAGGTTTCTTGAATCTAAGCTAAATTGAATTTCTAATAAATTTCCCTAATAGCATATTCTACATATAGATAAGGGAGGTAAATCCGTCTCGTTTAGTGTATTAAAAATCAAATTCCTTATAATAAATTACCACCCTTATGGTTATCAATCATTCCAAACTTTACGGGTTGCGACACATTAGGAGTGAAGATATAGGCTACATCTTTTAGGAAAATTGTTTCATACAAGAACGCGCCTATACTCTATTCCACCTCTTGTGAGTGGAGATTGGAAGATAGCTGGTACAGTAGCAGCCACCATTAACTTGATTGTCCTTATAAAGAAGTAACTTTTTTTTTTGTTAAGTTCTCCCTTTTCAGGGAAGGCAAAGGGAACAATGCCCATACAGCCTAGTCTTAAGTTAAATTATTCTGTTTTTTTTACATTAGAATGGCGGTGTGACGCATTCTAATGTTTCTTGAAGTGTTTGGCACGAAAAATATCGAGCTGGGAGCTGGCTTTTTCGATAAGCTTCTGTGAGGTAGTCAATACTACAATAAAATTCTCACGTCCACTTGACCGGAATAGCGTATATTTTGACGATTCTACTATTCTTCAGTTACGCAGACAGTTGTAACACAAAATCACACCAATTTTATTTCACAATATCCACTATGAACGAATTTAAGTGATAGCTCCTCGGCAGCGCATTAATTTATTTGTCAATAATTAAAATAAAACGCCAACCACACTCGATGAAATCCCGCCAAAATCTCCTAAAGAAGTAACACGTACTCAGTATTGCCAGGTCCGATTTTTAAAAATCGGGAGGCGTTATAGAAAAAAACAGTAGATGTATGGAAAGAGCTACAAGAAAAAACAGTAGATATCGAGGCGTACTTTTTCCGATTTGCAATCAAGATATAAGCCAGTAACGATGTTACTGTTGTTTCTGCCGCCCCTCAAAGCTCGTTTTTTTAGACAATAACATTTATTTTATAATAATTAAGGTTACCCCGTTACTAATGGAGGAAAATGATTTAAAAAGGAAAATCGTATTCTAAGAAAAACAGTAGAACAGGAGAAATTTCAGAAAAACAGGAGATCTCCTGTAAAATCTGGAGACCTGGCAACATTGCAGGTACTCAAGTACGGTTCCTTTAATGGGAAAGAGAATTCAATCAAGAATTTTAATGGGCTTGAAATATAATGCAACTGTATGTGTAGATATTTGTATTACAACGATAACATTAGAACCGGTACTAGTTCATTATCCCTACGTTTATAATATAACTTAATGTGATATTGTAGTTTAATTCTCGCATCGTTGATGTAAAAATCGTAGTAAAAGTCGTTTATGAATAACTTATCTTTTACTTAACAGTTGTCAAATTTATTGGCATTATAATATATATATATGTAACTAAGCATTAATATAACCATAATCATAATGTAACTCCTGGACTTTTAAATCAGTAAACATTACTTAAATGTTTTTATTTATTTTTAAGCATTTAACTGCTAGATGTTTTAAATCTAAAGAAAAGTTTACTAGAAAAAAATCCACGCGGACCAGGCAGCGGATGGGACTCGAACCCGCACCCTTCGCAATCCGGGCGAATGCACTGACCATTATGCTATGCTATTTCTGCACTCAAATGTTTAATACTTGAAAAGGTATTCATTGTGGGTTACCTACAATGCGGAGAGATGGCGCTGCCTTGCAGCTTAAGGCTAGGGAAATTTCGACGCGGCCAATAGGGTCGTGGTAGCATAATGCACTGACCATTATGGTTCGAGTCCCGTCCGCTGCCTGGTCCGCGTGGATTTTTTTCTAGTAAACTTTTCTTTAGATTTAAAACACTACTTAAATATTGTTCTGTTCGATAACAGCTGTTATTGAACCAACCGATTTCTTCATAAAAGGGACCACCGAAACATGCAAGGCTGCTATTAAACTGCGAACGTTCTCCATACCTTCCATCCTTTGCAGAGTCAATCGACTATCGCATGGCGCTTTTGCAATTTGTTTAGAAACACCGGTTCGGATAATCATTTTTCTTTCGCGTGCGTCGAGACGAGCGACGCTACGGTTCGTATTAGCTTTATCGCTCGAATGTGCTCTACTCGCATCCAGGGGTTGGTATGTGTCGAGAAACTTTCACAAAGCGGCAAGCAGGTACCGTTGCGCTGCGCTCGTAAAAAACACATCAATCTCAGCGAGGGAGCGGTGATCAATCACCCGCATTAACACCCTCCCCTGCTACCCTGCACCCCTTCCCCCCGTGGGACAACCCTTTCATGTCGTCTCTCTTCACAAACACTTCAATTCATTTAGGCAATGCCCGTTGGAGTATAAAGCTCGGGTGAACACGGCAGATTCAAAAGTTACACCGGAAAAAATCCGCTTATCATCACGCTGCGGCTGCGGCTGCGAGCTCCAAAATGAAGAGACGTTTACAAAAGGTTTTTTTTATTTCAACTAAATTGCAAAGCCGTGAAAATTCACGGAAGTATCCGGTATGGTTTTCATGAGATTTACTTTGTGTGCAACATTTTCATCATGTCCGTCTGCCCGTCCCCGGTTTCGCATGGCACTAGAGAGCTGTAATTTTGTGGATATACGAGTATGTATATCGATTACGCCGACAAAATAGTAGAATAAAATCTTGAAAAATATTTGTTTCTTAGGTTTTCACACACATCACTCAATAAATAAAACTAGTCTGCAGTGTGTGAACATGCATTAGGGGGACCAAACCATTACATTAGATTTGATAAACCACAGATCCTTGCAACTGAGCAACGATTCGTTCCCTGAATGATACGCGAGGCTAATGAGATTATTAAATATCCGAATTTCAATAGGGAAGATGGTTGGTATATACCACCAGCTTGGGAACCCATTATACAGGAGATAAAATCCCAACCTCGAGCACACACTGCAAGACCAACAAATACTATTAGTTCTTTTTGTTTGTATAATTTAACATAAGAAGGAGATAAAAAGCCTCTCTTGAGTTTGTTTCGCCGGTTCTTCTCAGAAGGGTCTCCCAATTTTGGAACCGGTGGTAGTTTACGGTAGGTAGGGTCAAATGAATAAACTCAAAATTACAAAAAAGAATTTTAAATAAAATACTTTATTAACTAAATTAAGTAATAAATTCACACATAGACAAGAAAACTTTAAAAATCGAACAATGAAATAACCGAACGCTCAATAAAAGTCTTCCGACGACGCAGCCTGTAAACGTCAATAAATAAATAAAGTTTCGTGCATTAACCCGTAAAAACTAGTTTGAAAAATATTTTTCTGTTGAACTTATATTTAACTTTTTTGTGGTAATAAAGTTAGTGTTTAACGGTGGATTTGTCTTTTGTGTACAAAGGTAGTCGGAGTGATGAGGCGGCGCACCGAAGGCGAGTAGCGGCGGGGCATGACCCGCGCAGTGGCGGCGGCGGCGGGGGCGCTGCTGGCGGCCCTCGCGGCCGGCTCCCTCGTGCACGCGCCCGACCACCGCGCCGAGCCCGCGCCCGGGGCTGCAGCCGCGCGCGACCTCTCGCCCCTGCAGATACTCGACGTCGCCGCTGAAGTGCCGGAGGTCAGTCATGCTACTGCTTCGTTCCTTTTCGACAGCTCAGGACCTGGATAAGGGAGCGCTGTCAACGACAAAATGGTGAATACTGGGAAGAACTCACGGACTGCTGGCAAGCAAGGGAAGCCGTTCCTATGGCAAAACGTAAGTTGATCAAACTACTTATACGAGGCCTGAAACAAATCTTGGGTATACTCGCGGGTCACGGCTGTTTCAACAAATACCTTTGTGATATAGGTATTTCTGATAGCAGTCTGTGCAGAGCCTACCTGGAGGAGAAAGAGGTTAGCTCCCACGTTCTACTGGAGTATAGAGGCGTTGCAAGACAAAGAACTTCTCCACTGGGAAATCCACGGACAGTAGTAGAAGCCTGCGGTGACATTCAGGGACTGCTAGGCTTTCTGGGCGAATGCCATTCCTGACGTAAAATAGCCTCATGGTGTCAAGTTGCAGAAACAGCCCGCAGTACTACTCACTAACAGTCCTTTTCAGTACAAGGTCTCCCGCCGTAGATTTTGTGAACCGATGGCGTGGTTTCCACCTTTAGCGTGTGTATGTCAAAGCTAAACTGAATAAATGAGTTATAATTTTTATTATTTTTAAAGCATGTAACTGCTTGATGTTTAAATCTAAAGAAAATATAACTAGAAAAAATTCCACGCGGACCAGGCAGCAGACGGGACTCGAACCCGCACCCTTCGCAATCCGGGCGAATGCACTGATCAATTATGCTACCGCGGCCCTCACGGACCGCGTCGAAATTAGAAGTTATATTTTCTTTAGATTTAAACATCAAGCAGTTACATGCTTTAAAAATAATAAAAATTATAACTATAATTGCTATTTCTTCTTTCAAATGTTTAATACTTGTAAAAGTATTCATTTGACATTGTGGGTTTACCTATAATGCGAAGAGATGGCGCTGCCTTGCAGCTTAAGAATAGCTAGAAAGAATTTTGACGCGGTCCGTGAGGGCCGCGGTAGCATAATTGGTCAGTGCATTCGCCCGGATTGCGAAGGGTGCGGGTTCGAGTCCCGTCTGCTGCCTGGTCCGCGTGGAATTTTTTCTAGTTATATTTTCTTTAGATTTAAACATCAAGCAGTTACATGCTTTAAAAATAATAAAAATTATAACTATAATTGCTATTTCTTCTTTCAAATGTTTAATACTTGTAAAAGTATTCATTTGACATTGTGGGTTTACCTATAATGCGAAGAGATGGCGCTGCCTTGCAGCTTAAGAATAGCTAGAAAGAATTTCGACGCGGTCCGTGAGGGCCGCGGTAGCATAATTGGTCAGTGCATTCGCCCGGATTGCGAAGGGTGCGGGTTCGAGTCCCGTCTGCTGCCTGGTCCGCGTGGAATTTTTTCTAGTTATATTTTCTTTTGAATAAATGAGTTTTGAGTTTCAGTATAAACAAATCTCGAAGTCCCCAAACAGCCTTACGAGTACTTCGACTTCTAAATAACAGTTCTAAATCATTTCATATTCTTGAGTGATTGTTATATATTTTGGTCCGAACAAATGACTGAAGATGCTGGTACAGCAGTTTGACCTTCCACACCGGTCAACCTCAATTTGTCAGCAAGCCTCTTGCTTGCTCTTCTTCACGCCTCATTTAAAGAACCCTGGATTTTAACAATTAGAAAACATGCTTTGCCCGCTCACGTGTCATGTGTTTTTACGGATGCATGCATTTAGAATTCTGCCTCATAAGAAGCCATGCCTATTCTTGTTTTCGCCGATTATAAATACTATAAAGAAATAATCAATTTTATAAAATCCTGGCAAATGACTATTCCATGTCACCAGATATTGAGTGTGAGTGAAGCTCCTGTTTACTTCTTATGAGCTAGCTCACTACGGGAACTAAAAATGACGGAAGGTGTTGACATGATGGAGTCACTTCATTCATAATATTAATGTGATGGAAGTTTGACAACAAAACAGGGAGAAAAAAGTAGCCCTTGCTGAGTTTCTTGCCAGTTTTTCTCAGTACAAGGTCTCCCGCCGTAGATTTACGAACCGATGGCGTAGCGTTTGACTTTCACAAGAGCTTGTAACAGCCTAGACTGAATAAATGAGTTTGAATTTTGAATTTTAAAGGTAATTCGAGCAGGGAACTGCTGTGCACACTTAGCTAATATATAATATGGTTACGTCAGGGTGACGCAAACGGCTTAAAGAGATGGTTTTTGTCCGAGTGGGATTAGCCCAGGGAGTGTGATGTAGTAAGTGAGCTAAAGAGATTCATTAATCATTTTGTAGACTACCTATTCATTTTGATATAGTCATTGGGTAATATATAATATGAACCGCGTCATCTCTTGTGATAAAGGTATTTTATGAGCCTTGTTATGTTTTTGTATCATTGATGAGTAGATTATATCATTTTCATTATCTATGTGATAGTTACAGTATTGAATCTTTTTTTACAAGTTATGTTAATAACTTTTTTCAGTGCGTAAAATGTTTTGGAGTATTTATTAGTAAAAAGTAGGTGGTTACCCCTTTCGGTCTGCGATCGTGGAAGTTAAGCAACTTTCATAATGGCTGGTCTTAGGATGGGTGACCAAAAATTTACTATCCCTAGCACCTTGTTAAGCTCTTAGTAATGCACGCGGCAGCTTTCGCAGCTGGAGTCTACAATGCACTGGGTATTTGTCCAATCTCATTTTTTCATCCATAGGAAATCCTGTGGTTGATGATGATGATGAATCTAAACATATAAAAACTAAAAATTTGCTAGGTTTAACACTCGCTTCTACAATAAAGTCCCTAGCAATATCCAAAAATTCAGCGTCAATAAATTTAAAACTACCATTAAAAAAGTTCTTATTATTAAAGCCTAAAATTATAAAGTGTTTGATTATATTTCAAACAAGAATGCTTGGGTTTAAACTGTTCCAAACGTTCCGGCAGGCTTTTTCTATAATAGGGAAGATGCATATATAATATTTATGAAAATTTTATGATTAAAATGTTAAAAAAATATAAAAGAAATGCCACTGCAACGGTTTTATTTTACATAATGTTGTTTTTTAACAATTATTACGAATTAAAAATACTTGAAACGGAACGTACTTTATCAAAGCAGACTCCAGGAATTTACCAAGAGTTAGCGTTGACATGGTTATAACTTTTTTTGTCCAAAGTGCAGAGTTTTTAAGTGTAGAAATGAAAGGGACTATATTACTACGGTATGTAAAAATCGTAGTTTATTCGTGTTTTATTCAGCGGCTTCTACAAATCTTACGGCGATAATGCAATCGGCTATGTCCAAATTAAAAGAGATGGAAAATTATGTACAGTAAAAGGTCGAGTTCTCCGTCGAGTCCGAGAACTACGTAAAGAAGGTTATCGTGTTACAGTTATTTTAAATGAAACGCAAAGCTTGGTTCAGTCCTGCCAATGAGAAGAATGTGCCACACATTTTAAACTTTATTTAATTTTCGACGTCATTCTCCAACTGTAAAATTAAAAATATGTTATAGGCAGGTTTTGTAAGTATTAGGTAGGTTACTAATGCGTTTTTACGTACAAGCAGATTAATTAAGCATATAACAAGTATATTCGCCGACATACGTCAAAGTGATCTTCTCAGCATCGAATAATGGTCTTTGGAGAATAATTGTCATTTCTCTTCGCAGCTTGAAACCACTTTTCTTCTTAACTAAAATATATTACTAAAAGGAGTCCCTTTAGGCAAGGTTCCGAAGATACTGGCATCGTTCCCCCTTTGAATAGCTAGACTAATTCGTTGTCCGAGGTAGCTGCCAGCTCTTCGGTCTCCAGTGATGTCGACTAAACTTTTTGATATTTCCTTAAAAAACCTCATAGCGCTAGGACCCCACGGACCAAGTGTCTCGACACCGAATGGGACAAAATCATATTCGGAGCCTAGATCCCTGTATTTGCTTGCTTTTGCTTTCTCAGCCGCTTCACAAGCCGCACCGGCTCTGTTGTTGATTCCATGTAGATGTGAAGGGGCCAGCGTGTCCGAACAGATTGCATCCCATACCAGTACCCGGCCCATCTTCCATGGAATTTTGACTTTGGACTTTACTTTTGATACTTATATGAATGTCCAGCAGGTGGCGGAGGTGCCGGCGTGGCGCGAGCTGTGGTACGGCTCGCTGGAGGGGCTGCACGTGGTGCGCGAGCCCACCATCAACAACACGCAGGAGGACGTGCTGGCGCAGCTCGGCTCCCTCGCCTTCCTGCACTGCCCCGTGCGGAACCTCGGCGAGAGGGGGGTACGTCGCACATACTCACCAGTCACTTTCCTCTAGCTTTCGGTCCACTGGAAGTTGCACTATTCCTTAATGGAATTTAAAAGACACGTAACAAACCAATATAATAATAAAACGTGTTAAAAAACCCATATCATTACATTGAAAAAGTATCACGTAATATTAAAATACGCAGCACTAAGAAATCTGAAAAGTGAATGGTAACGTCAAGCATCAAGTAAAATTTTAACAGACGCGCTTTATAACCCATTTGAAAACGTTACAGCTACTCTTGATTGTAAATGCCATCATTAGACGCAGTCGTCAATCGTTTAATGCAGCTAAAGACTCTTGAATGCCAGATTTGTTTAATGCAGTCAATTTTGGGCCTCAGTTTTCTTGAAAGCTATAAATGTATAAGCTATTGTAGTTCGAAATATTTTTTTTCAAAGTGGATACAAATAAATGCAGCTGATACCACGACATGCTTAATAATCTTTTAGACTTCCTTCTTTTAAGTAATTATTTTTACAATTCTGGTCACATAGATAATGTGATTTTGGCAATAGTTTTGTAGGAAGGCCAGCGGGGAAGATCTTCCTCCGAGCTGGGTGGAGGTAGCTTGGGGGCCGCGGCCCGACTGATGTTGGTCGGGCATCGTATATATGAACTGTTGGCTGCCGAATTTCACTTGCGCGATGTAGGCTTCCTTACGTTGTGAACGCAACGCCGGTAGCGCCATCTCTTAAGGAGGCGAGTGACTATTTCCTCTATGTTCATTATATGTGGGGCATGCAGATGTCACCGCCACAAGTTAATCAATTTCTTGTATTGGGTACAAACTGTTCATACTAAATTATCAAATTACCTTTATTGAATAAAAGCTGTTTATATATAATGTTAGTTGTATTGACCGGTATTGTGGCCTGTTGCAGGTGTCGTGGGTCCGCCGCCGCGACTGGCACATCATCAGCTCGGGAGTGCTCATGTACACCAACGATGAACGATTCCAGGTACTAACATACTTACAATAACTACGTATTTATTTAAAGAAGACTAGATGTTTAAATATAAAGAAAATTTTACTCGTAAAAAAAATAAGCAGACTGGAAGGTAGACATATTGAAGACAGCATTGTATTGTATATTATGTTAGTCATCATATTTGTTTCATATGTTTTCACGCACATCACTCATTAAATAAACTAGTTTTTCACGAGTTAATGCACGAAACTTTATTTATTTATTGACGTTTCGTAGCCTTTACAGGCTACGTCATCAGAATCAAATTTTATTTAATTTTGTCGAGCTACCTTCGAAAGGTAGCTCAACAAAGCCTGTAAAGGCTACGAAACCTCAATAAATAAATAAAGTTTCGTACATTAACCCGTAAAAAACTAATTTTATTTATCAATATTTTATTTCATTTTGTCGAGCTACCTTCGAAAGACTTTTATTGAGCGTTCGGTTATTTCATTGTTCGATTCTTAAAGTTTTATTGTCTATGTATGAATTTATTACTTAATTTACTTAATATGGTACTTTATTTAAAATTCTTTTTGGTAACTTTGAGTTTATTTTTTTGACCCTAACTACCGTAAACTACCACCGGTTCCAAAATTGGGAGACCTTTCTGAGAAGAACCAGCGAAACAAACTCAAGAGAGGCTTTCTATCTCCTTCTTATGTTAAATTATGCAAACAAAAAGAACTAATAGTATCTGTTGGTCTTGCAGTGTATGACAAAATTAAATAAAAAATTGATTCCGACGAAGCAGCCTGTAAAGGCTACGAAACGTCAATAAATAAATAAAGTATCGTGCATTAACCCGTGAAAAACTAGTTTTACTTAATTTTAGTCATCACTTATGTTGAATAACTTATAATGCTGTACTTTCAAAATTAATCTTGCTCTTAGGAGAAGTTTTCATGTCTGCAACGACTATTGAGTCGAACAGTAGTCAAGTTTAGGATAATATTTTTTTATTTTTATTACAATTTCTATCTAATAACAAGCTGAATGCACGTCATAGGGCATCAAAACCTCCTAGCGGGTCTCGGCTAAAAGCTCGATGGGTACTCCACAAAATTGCTGAACAAACTCTCCGCAGGCTCTTTGATCAAAGCCACTTACTGTTTGAAAACACTAACTTGAAATAAGATTTGAATATTAATCGGTACACAAAATAGGCTAAAAGTTATACTCATTTCATTTGTTTTTTATTATTTGCAGGTGCTACACAGCGAAGGCTCCGATGACTGGATATTACAAATTAAATATGTGCAGAAAAGAGACAACGGCACATACGAGTGTCAGGTATATATGATAACATTATTGGTGATTATTTATTTCGATAAATGGGCTTAACTAAACTAAAGCAACATGCTTCAAATTCTAGTTTATTATTATGATCACAAAATTCTCACTGATAGAATTGAAACAAAAAATCTCTGTATGTTAGATCGAAGCTTAGATAAAACCATCTGGATCTTTTCGAGTGTGTTACCCTTCGGGGATAAATTTTGAAAAAACCTTACTTAAGTTTTTATTTTTTGAGCATTCAACTGCTAGTTGTTTAAATTCAAACAAAGTTTACTAGAAAAAATTCCACGCGAACCAGGCAGCAGACGGGACTCGAACCTTAACTGACGGAACTCGAAACATAACTATAATAGCTATTTCTTCCTTCGAATGTTTAATACTTGTAAAAGTATTCATTTGACATTGTGGGTTACCAACAATGCGAATAGATGACGCTCCCTTGCCGCCTAAGGCTAGAGAAAATTCGACACGGCCGTCAGGGCCGCGGTAGCATAATGGTCAGTGCATTCGCCCGGATAACGAAGGGTGCGGGTTCGAGTTCCGTCTGCTGCCTGGTCCTGGGAATCGGAGGGACTATAACCACCGCTCCAGATTCATTATTTACCGCTCCCGGTCCATCACTCACTGCTCCCGGTTCATCACTCACTGCTCCCGGTCCTTCAAACACCGCTCTGGGTCTTTCTAAGATTATACGTTTCATCATCTGCGGGCATCTCCACGGCTGACAAAACTGCTTTCTTTATGTACTTATTGTATACGCACGTGTAATGTTTGTATGGTCCGGCATGCAGGTGTCGACGGCGTCGGGCACGCTGTCGCGGCTGGTGCACCTGCACATCGCGGTGCCGGAGGCGTTCATCCTGGGCGCCGACGAGCACCACGTCGACGCCGGCTCCACCATCAACCTCGTCTGCATCATCGAGAAGGTGAGCTCTGACGTACGTGCCTCGCCTGTCGCATCATATACGCGTACCATGTGGATGCTGGCTTCACCATCATCGAGCAACTTTCAGTGCAGTGGCTGTTCGAAGGATCGATAGCGAAAATTTTACTATCTCGAGTTTCGCCGTGTTTTGGGAGGCACTTCGAGCTGCTGTCTCGACTGCATCTGCAAAGTTAGTGTACTATATTAGATAAAAACTGGTTTAATTATGATTTAAAAAAAAAGGTAAATTTAAAAAATCAAAAAACCCGACTGCTTAATTATACTTCAAATAAAAACTGAAAAGAAAAAAACAAGTCCAGTAGTCTATAATTCTGTTAATAAGGAACAAAGCTACTTTAACAGTCGGGACCCATTAGATATTCAAGAATACATAATATTTTTCAACAGTGGGTCCCGACTGTTAAAGTAGCTTTGTTCCATATTAACAGAATTATAGACTACTGGACTTGTTTTTTTCTTTTCAGTTTTTATTTGAAGTATAATTAAGCAGTCGAGTTTTTTGATTTTTTAAATTTACCTTTTTTTTAAATCTTTTTCATCAATTAAATACTTATCTTATCCTAACTATCTATACTAATATTATAAAGAGGAAAGATTTGTATGTTTGTAACAAATAATCTGTCGAACTACTGAACCGGTTTCAAATATTAATTCATCATAAGGAAGCTACATTATTTATTATTACATTTTTCTTTATTTAAATACAATTTGTCCGAGTGACATAGGCTATAATTTATCCCGATAAATAAATTTCGCACGTACAATGCCCGGATGGATCACTAGTAAGTATAATATAATATTATAGATGTGAATGTGAGTTTGTTTGTTGCGCTTCCGTGCCCTAATAGCTAAATCGAATGTAATGAATTCCCATATAGAAGTAGATGGGAACTTGGTTCTTAGCTACAACATCGCATTACTTATAGGCATAGGGTGATGAAAGGGGTGATTTACCTATAAAAATCTACATTATTTACTTTGAATTTTGCAGAATTATTACAATACCAATATTATCGCGAGCTGATTAATAAATACAGGGATTCCAATAATGTACTTACTAGCGAAAAATGGGTTATTTGTCATTATAGTAAACCTTTTTTGTAACATTAAGTAATATCGTTAAAAAAAATGAAAAACAGTAAAATTCTGAGTTTTTCATTAAAATTTAATAATCATAAATACCTATTATGATAATATATTTTTCATCATTTAATAAGAAGGAACTGTATCACAGTTTTATTGTTAGTGCTTCGTATAGGATCAGATACTGCGAATAGCCCATTTTTTTTCTTTTACATAGTACACCGCGCTATTACTTTGTCATCGTTGTAACTTTTTAAATACTTGTCGAAATGACATAGTGTAAAAAGCAAAGTTTATTGTCTTTAAATATCAAAAGCGATAAAAGTATTTGTTTTGATAAAAAATGATTTGTTAATACAAAATGTGCATTTTGGAAATAGATATCAAATAATATTTTAGTTTTGATTCACTATTTTAGCGGTAATGACTTACACATTAAAAATAGATATATGGTGTCACGGACTTTTTTTTAGAACTATTTAGGAGATACAATTTCACTCTACATTATATTCATGTAACTTTTATTGTTTGCAGTGCAGGCCAAAATGGCTCGCAGATGGGAGATTTTTTTCCGTCTTATGTGACACTTATTGTTACATATTGGCCAATTCACTCAATAACTACATAAATTATTATATATATGTAATTATCATATATGAGCTATATTACAGTTAAGTCTCATTAAAATCCATTCAGTATTTTTTAGGTGAAAGAGTAACAAAGATCCATACAAACGTAAGATTGAAATTAAAAGCGTAAGTGGTTAATATACAATACTCCAGAATTAAGTGATTTGTTAAATAACAATGAAAGAGGAATAGAAAGCTCGTCTGCACAGCGTTTAACAAATAATGGCGAGATCCCATCAGGACCAGCCCCTTTTCTTTCATCCAAATACTTAATCTTGCGAAGAGAACATCTTGTGGCTCTATAGTGAAGTTACTAAGCGAAGAGTTACAAATATTAGGCAACATTGTCAAAACTCTCGGCTCTGAGCATGGAGGTGCTTCAAGCACCGAACCAAAGTACTCTGAAAAAGCTCACAGATACCCTGACCATCCGAAGAAACTTTGCTATTAAAAGTCATGGTCTCAGGTATCGTATCTTTGCCTTTTCTTCCCTTAACATATCGCCAAAACAGTCTCGTGTTGTCACCAAGTGAATCCTCCACCGTGGATAGGTACATTTTATGACAACTTTCGATAAGGGATTTACATCGAGTCGCAAATGTGTCATATTCACTAGGATTACCATTTTTGTAGCGTTTGTGGTATTTAGATTTCTCCCTAATGCAGCGTTTTAAACCATGACTATACCAAAGCGAATATTTGTTGGACGTATTATTAATTAGATGTGTATTCCCATCTATGATTTCATAAATTTTATTGTTAAACACATCAACGCAATCGTCGATAACAGAAGAAGAAAACATTTCATTCCAATCCAAATCTAGCAATTCTATATTGTTTTAAACTTTCATGGTCACTAACATTATAGATATTAACGGGATTGTTACCATGTACCTTGTTTTTTATGAGTCTCCGATATTTCGGCACTGTTGCAAGCGCCATGATCACGGAGTAACTGAAGTAATTGCGGGTAGATGTTATTGGCAGACATATCGGTCTACCCTCTGACGTCGTCTTTTACTGCGTTCTAGCAACTCTGACCTTAAATTTTCATACTTGCACTTATTAAAGTTATAACGTTTCTAAGGCTTAGATTTCAATGGTTTCCAGGAATTCATATCAGGTATCTCAATACAATACGCTAAATGATGAAAATCCACTCTACATAAAGGATCAACTTCAGACACCTCCATAACGGGAAGGTTAGACAGAACGAGATCTAGAAACCGGCCATTTTTATTAGGGATAGTATTAAATTGAGTGACATCACATGTACTTATAGTTTCTGAGAGCATACACGCTTTAGCATCGCGTGGATTCGTCGGTATGAGACCTCGAGAATTGCTTTCTACCGTCCATATGTTACCTGTATTAAAATCTCCCAACAGCAAGAATTCGTCACTGCATGTAGAAATAAGAATTAATCTTTGACATTTTTGGTGGAAATCAGTATAACCTTTGAGTGATATATCCGGAGGCAAGTAGCAACGGCAAATATTCAGCAACTGCTCATTAGTGAACCAGATATCTTCAACTCCAGTTTCCCAGAATATCCGACGAATAACATTAATGTGCTGTTTAACTGCTACTAAAATACCACTTCCATCCCTTTTTAAAGAACAAGAACTACTTCGATCCCGTCTAAAAACAGTATAAAGATCATCAATTGCTTCCCCGTCAAAGACACTTTCATCAAAATTGGTCTCTGTCAAGCAAACAACATCGTAAACATCAATTAACAAATTCAAATATATCATTAATTTTGGATCTAGCTGTACCTTAATTTTGATAAAATATGTTATGCATTGTATATAGTGCCAATATTTGACCCACACATATTTAAATTCGAGTTCCTTAGCAAGCTTTCTGGTTGCAGCTTGTAGCGTCTTTTGTTCAGGGGACAAGTGTTCCGCGACAAAAATCCTGCATAAATCTCCGGCAATATTGAGGTCCGTAGAAGTCAAGCCACAGCCGGCGTTCGCTTTCGCTTTGGCTTTGTTATGACGATGATATGCAGAGAGAACCAAATCACGTATGCGCGGGGACGACAGGGTTATAACTATGTTACGCAACTGTTTGACAGCCACTAATATGTCCATCTTCCACCGGAGCTTTTATAACGCAAAGATTCCTAATTATGGACAGGGCATTTTCGTTCCTGTGTTCTGGAATACATTTGCATTTGCTTTTCTCTCATTTGAGTTTGGATGTGTGTGTTCCAGAGTCCGGTGCCGCCGCAGTACGTGTTCTGGTACCACAACGCGCGCATGATCAACTACGACGCGTCGCGCGGCGTGACCGTGGTGACGGAGCCGGGGCCCAAGACGCAGTCCACGCTCGCCATCCGCGCCGCCGCGCCCGCGCACTCCGGCAACTACACCTGCTGCGCCGCCAACACCGAGCCCGCGCACATCTACGTTTACGTCTCCGAGGGCAGTCAGTATCCGCATATCCATGCACGATATATCATATCTTCATTATTAAAATTTATTTTAGTTTTGTTTTTTTTTTCTTAAACGGCTTCGCACGGCTTGTGCATTTAGCCATTGTCGAGTGTTAAAATGTTTACAAATTCTATAGCACTCGTGGTCAAAGTAATTAATCAAGTCAAAGTAAGTGGCAGTCAAGTCAATCCCCCTTTCCCTATGTTTCAGTAAATGTGTGGGGATTTACTGGAACCTCCCCGTGGACTTCTTAGGGGAACGTCGAAAGACACTTTCCGCTATTTTGTTTCACTTGCCAACATTTGTGCATGTTCCCGAACACTTAGTGGTTAATAATCCACCATTATTATACACTAATATCCGCCACAACACAATTTTTAACAAAAAAAACAAAACTGCTAAAGTGACGCTTTCCGATCCCGCCAAAAAGTACCATATCTTCATTACTTAATTTAGTTTTGGTTTTTGTAAGTTCTACTTTGTCATAGAGATTAACCTTTATTTTTTTCATTCATTCCACTTGTTTAAAGGCTTAAGATGATACAACCATTCAGCCAATGTTATTATTTTGGATTCTTACTGTTCTGTTTTTTTTATTATATTAAAAAAATATATCTCGTCAACCTTAGGCCCTGCCAGAATTAGTCACGCTGCAGCAGCCCTGGTGTTACTGTAGTATTAAGCTGAGACAGGGACCTAGTAGGCCTGTCTTGCTGTGTTCTGTTTTTATAAATAATTGTGTGTTGAAGGCCAATAAAATATCTTTCTTTCTTCTAATTAAAATAATTTCAAGTTATTTTTGTTACAGTCACAGGTGCAGCCCGTTTAGATATCTGTTTTTGCTTTATTATATTGCTTTTTGTATCAGCCAAATATTTTCTTATTTAATAATAATAATAACTTTATTTGAAACAAGGTAATTAATATACATAAAATTATGGACCGTTTATTCTGCTATAGTTTAACAAACACTGTGTAGCAGTATCAACGCCCATTCCCGTTTATTTATGTATCATGGTGTCTTAGTGATACTTATTTTACTTAATTAAATACGTGTAACGTTAAATAAAGGGTCAAAGTCCATAGAAGATCTGTGGAAGATCTTTTTTTGTAAACAGCCACAGATTACCTGTGCAGGTAACCATATCACAGATAATTTCTGCCACAGATGTTGCGATGTGTTCTGTTCTATGCTCCAATTTCTTTTCTTTTTATAATATCTGATCTGATAATCTGAAATAAATATTATTATTATTATTAACTAGCGGCCGCCCGCGACTTCGTACGTGTGGAGTTAGTTATTTGCACATATTTTGTGACCCCAAAAGGGGGTTTATTTCTAAAAATAAATTATTAGTACACTTCTATCATCTATAGAGCATACATGTTAAATTTCAAGTCTCTTACTTCAAATATAGGACTTTCATACAAACTTCCAACCCGCGTATTCCCCCTTTGGGGTGGAGTTTCGTGAAATTCGTTCTTAGCGGGTATCTTCACCCCATAAGGAACCTACCTGCCAAATTTTAAGTTTGTGGATGTTAAAGTTTCTGAGATTTCGTGATTAACCAGTGAGTGGTATTTCGCTGCGACGTCGTCTGTGTGAACGCTATACAGCACCAAAAATACTTAGGATTATACCTTTGGAAATAACATTCTTTTACACGTTTCTTCTTTACATTTTGTATCTACAGAAAGTGCAGTAACAGATGGACTGTCTTTTATAAAATTGACCATCAAAAAGTGCTGATTTTCAGCCTGCTTTAAATAAATGACTTTATGTTGATTCTGCTGAATTAAGTCATAAGTTGTGACTGAAGCAGATGGAGAAAATAAGGAATATAGAATAGGGTAAAATACTTATAGGACTTCTCGATAAACAACGTTAGTGGTTTGGATCTCCACAGCTAAAATGTAAAGAGAGTCAGTACTGGTGACGCGGGAGCAAGAGAAGTACAGCTGCCCGTGTGAGAAGCAGCTCGTCCTGAGGTCGACATCCGCTGCCCTCACTTTTTTTTTTTTATTGTGGCTTGGCCATGATGGCTTTTGAGCCATTCATTTTAAGTGATTTTAGTGATGAAATCAACTTTAAATATGTTGTTCGTATGTTTTGCATCGCTTTACGCTTGAACTGTATTTAATTATCTATCAAAAATATCGGGAAACATTATTTTTCAATATTATACTGAAACCATATTAAATAATCTCCACAATACAAAAAGAGTATGGCGACAATTCTAACGAAAAAAACTATAATTGTCACTGTCATGCTTGTCATCGAATTGTTGTTGTTATTGTTATCATTATATAACATTGTTTGTGCTTAGGTGCATGCATATTACAAAGATTTCAATCGGCGTATTGTGTTTTTCTGAGATTTGTTTTTTTATGTGACTTGGACTGTATTTGGACTTTCGAAATCTTTCTCTGCGACTGTGGAGTAGTGCTTGCCTAAGACTTCCGAATCTGATATTTTGCTGTGGATTTTGGACACGATTCTGTCCTATACTGTGGATTTTATTTCATTGTATCTACTATCTACGATATTGTGATCAACGATGTGGAATAAAAAATATATAAAAAATGTTGCATATTAATATCCCATTAGTACATTATTAGAAATCCTTTTTTATTATTGCAGTGGGCATTTTAAAATTGTTAAGTACTTCTTACAGCACAGACATTGTATTTGAACTCAATAACTCTTGTCTGATAATAAGTATTTTGACACGGTTGGTCAGTACATACGCTAAAGAAAGAAAGGAAGAAAGCCAACTGATCATACATTGTAAAAATCATTTTTTATCGTCACTAATCTTCAGGACCGGTGTACTTCTATAGTTCCGTTCCACGTATTTTTTATTTTGATATAAAAATACTCTTGAAACAAACTTATAATTAGTTTTTGCATTACTTGGTAGGACATAACCTCCAAAACTTCAAAGTAGAATATCTATAAATCCGGACTTCCTATAATATAAGAAATAAGATGAATCAAATCAAGAATGTAAACTCTATAATTTAACATGCAATTCATTTATAGACGAAAGAAAAAATTTCAATAAAAAATTGTATGGGAGTTCGCCATTGTCCTTTGTCCGCCCCGAACGATGACATGTAAAAGCATGGGTTGTACGCAGTTTTAGAACCGTCAAGATTCATCAATTTCACCTGTAAATAATGTATTTAAGGGTTCCACAGGCTTTTCTAAAACAGGAATGGCTACTTTGCCCCCAGAGCTACACATTCCCGCTCTTTCCTTATTCCATTTTAATGCCCCACAATGGTGACACACATTTTCCATACGGCAAATTTTCATGAGCCTGTGGCTATTGTAATCCAATGTCAAGTCATATTCAAAACCACATTTTTCAAATAACCCCCAAGCATTTCTAGTAAATGTTTGCCGGCACTCTGCTTGATGCTGAGCTACTGCGAGTCGTCTAGAATTTGCCTCATCTACTATCTCGGAAGCACGCGGATTAGACATTAGCTGGGATTGATTTAGCCGTCGAGAAGTTTCTTCATCAGGTGTTTCAATGGTACGCTGAGTGGACATACGCTATGCGTTTTCTTGATGCCAAGTAGCTGCTACTTCAGGTGTCTCTAATGCACGCTGATTAGCCATAAGCTGGGCATGCTCTCGCCGTCGAGAAGTTCCTTCATCAGGTGTTTCAATGGCACGCTGAATGGACAACGTTGTGCGTTTTCTTGACGCTAAGTAGCTGTTTCTTCATGTGTCTCTAATGCACGCTGATTAGCCATAAACTGGGCATGCTCTCGCCGTCGAGAAGTTGCTTCATAAGGTGTTTGATTGGATCACTGTGTGACCATAGGCTGTGCGTTTTCTTGACGCGGAAAAGCTGCCTCATCAGTTGTCTCTTATGCACGCTGAGAAGCTATGCGGATAGGATTTTTCAGACGCCGAGCATCAGCTTGCGCAGAATTTTCTCCAGTTCTGACTTCTGCCTGACGTGTTGCTTGGTCACGTCTGCGCTGTTCAGTATCATAAGTAGATTCTTGCTGTCTTGCAATTTTCATAGATGAAGCTCTTTGTGAGCTCTGTGAACGATTTGGTTTACAATTGTGAGTCATAATTAGATACACAAAAAAAAATATAACAATATCGTTGTTCTAGAAATATGTGTGAAATATTAATCTATCAAAATAGCTTTGACATGAATGTTCAAAATAGCTTTGACATGAATGTCAAAAAATATGTACCTACTTAAACAAAATTCATTTGCATCGATTTTTCCATCGAAATAAGATTGTACGGGGAGCCCGTAACATAAAAACTGATAAAACTGATGAAATAATAAAACTGTAAATAACTTTGAAACTAGGATATATTTGATTTACTATAAACTGATTAAACTAATGAGGACGCGTGGTATGATTGATGACGGAATGCGAACTGAACGATGCAAAATAAATTATGAATTATACGTAAATTAGGTTAATAAAGAAACGCTGCGTCGGCAATGTACGCGCTTGCTCGTACATATTCCCGGGCAAGAAAGAATGAGATTAGTATGGGAAGCTGAATGAGAACTAAGACTAACAAGTTGAAATAATTTTGCTTAAAATAAATGAGAACCCCAATAGTTATTATTATGATTACGATTAACAAGATGATTGGCATTTTTTTTTTTTAACATCTAATTGGAGTCCACAAATTCATCCGGAACGCGAAACTCCGGTCTAAATACTATGGGGGACGACCCCGCGTCTCGCACAGACACTCTCATACTAGGCTTTTTAGCGAAAACACTTTTGCCTTTCAAAGATGCACGCACACTTTTATTTACTTTTTGATTGTGAGCACTACACTGATTACTAATCACTTCACTACACTGATCACTGCTGGCTGAAGGAGCCGGCGCAGGTGGCGTTGTAGTAAACACAACGGCAGGCGCCTCTCGCAGGCGCGGCGTGGGCATCGGCCCCACCGCTCTCCGTCTGTATCGCCTCCCGACCCACAGCAATGCG